GTAGGGACATATCATAGTGGCGTTTTTGTAAGAGCTTGAGCTGTCCACAATTTGGTTTCAGCCATAAATGTACCTTGAAATTCGCCATTGAAATGCTACATGAATGAGCTGACGTTGACGTCACGTCAATTTGACTGAAAAAAAAACGTTGCATAATGTCGCCTCAGGCCGAACCTTGTTGCAAACACAGTCATAAAGGATGAAAACGTAAGCGAAATTGCCATCGACGTCTGCAGAACTCAGATCATCGAAGTCACCAAGAGCTGCAGAGTATTGCTCGATCTGAAGGAAATTTTAGCACTGAAAATCTGAGGCACATTGAAATGAATATACCAACATCTGTTTGATCGAACTGGTTCATGAATTGTTGTAGTTGACTCGGATTGTATGCATCACTGGTAACTATTGTGATCTTGGCTGTTTCACTTCCTTTTCCAGTGACTGCCGGTTGTGGAACTGGTGGACAGGCCTCCAAAGAAGTTCATTGTTTATCGGTGAGCTATTGGAATGGTTGAAATGGACATTACACCTGGTCCTCGACGGAGTAAGCAAAGAAGCCCTTTTAGCGTTTCTGCTGGGGCCGTATGCTGAATGTTGGGGAGGGGATGGGGTCCCCGAGGTCGACGGACTACTTCAACTCGGTCGGTACGGTAGGAGAGTGATGACGAAGTGGTGCAGCTGGTCCAGCAGCTCCGCCAAAAGGGCTGGTTTGCTTACCCCAGGACTAAGCCTTGGAGAGAGGACGGACTGCGCTCTCTCACAGGTCCGTCCTCTTTTTAAGGCTTAGTCCTGAGGATAAGCATCAAATTGAGGCGCTTCAAAGGCGGGCACTTCATCCCCTCCCCGAGCATTCAGCATACGGCCCCAGTAGAAACGCCTGAAGGGCCAGTTTGCTCACTACGTCCTCGCCAGAGGGCACTTTGAAAACTCACAAGAGTGACCCCAATGAGGGCCAGAGCGAAGAGTAGACGTTCCATGACGGAAGTTGATGCGAGAATGGCTGGCTGGCCACTGTGTTCGCAGCATTTATATTCCATGATCCTCAGATTCGAATTTATTATTGCCAATAATTGCTTTTTTATTCTTCTGCAATCAATTTCTTGCTTGAAACGAAAGATATCACGAAATTTAGGCTTCTAATTTCACTTTCAATTTGAAACTGGGGAGGGGAAGGAAGGAAAAGACAGGAGGGTGCTCCACTGCGTTCTGCATCTTCAAGGCCACTAGTATTTCCATCGCCAAGGAGAAGCAACAGGTGATGAACAATTGATCCATTGGAAACGACTTCCCGAGAAGTGCCGTTGTAGTACCATACATTGACTCTATTCTACCCAGGTCCTATCCAATTTTTGACAGTGCACATTCCTACTGGAGCTCCTCTATCTCAATCACTTCCTTAAGGCTTCGCAAAAATGTTTGTAACCGAACTCAGGATAGATTCCTGGCATCATTCAGAGGCAGAGTTTACGACCAGATCGATGTCCTTCATTCCTTTCGTTCATGTCCGGCCCACCTTATCTTCGATTCCTTGGCGAAAACGGCAGCGTCCCTGATCTTCGATCGTTGGCGTAGTTCGGAACTCCGGATTCCCCTCTGCACTTGCGTGTATAGGGTTACTCCTAGCATCGTCCTCTCGACAGCGCGTTGGATAACGCTGACCGCATGCTCGTCCTGCCTGCGCAGAGTCCAAGTCTCTGAGGCGTAGGTTAGGGCAGGAAGGACAGCGGAATCGAAGAGGTGGGCACGGAGCCGGATGTTCTTCGTCTTCTTCACTACTCCCTCGATGTTCTTAACGCTCCCCAAGCCGCTCGTTTCCTCCTGCTCAGCTCTGGAGCTAGATCGTTCATCATATTGATTTCCCGACCTAGGTACACGTAGCTGGAGCATTCGGTGATGTTCGTTCCGTTGAGCGTGAATGGGGCATCAGGAACCAATCCGTTTCTCATAAACATCGTCTTCGTTAGGTTCAGCTGTAGACCGACCTTACCACAGGCGCAGTCGAAATCAGCCAGCATTCGCTCCGCTTGCTCGATGTTCGGCGTTATAAGAACGATGTCGTCAGCAAAACGAAGGTGGTGTAGTTGCCGGCCGTCGACCTTCACTCCCATGTCTTCCCATTCCAGTTGACGCATGACGTTCTCGAGAGCGGCGCTGAAGAGTTTGGGCGAGATGGTGTCGCCCTGTCGAACCCCTCTCTTGATCCATAGATGATGATAAGTTGTAAGCTCCG